TCTGTGCCTTCATGTTTTCTTTTATATATAGACCTCAGTTACTTACAAATACCAGCGCATTGTTTGCATTCCTCCGTATGTTAAATTCTTCATCTCTCTTTTTCTTTAAAGTTGCTATGTTTACTGTAATATCATTTAAAAATCTAGGGTTTTAAGCAGTTTGTGCTGCATGTAGAAGTCCAGGGCTACACATATGCCCTAGCCACTCAGTAGTAAAGGATATGTGAACTGTTTAAAGTATGTAAATCATGAGAATTTATGTTTAGATTAAGTTGAATAAGAGACCAGGGAGCCAAGGTGTGCATTCAAGTAATAGGAAACCAGAATGGTGTGGAGAAAACAGAAGAGCTCAAGTGGATTCCCTCCTACACAGAGGGGCTGAAAGGAGCCAGAGGGTAAGTGAAGGGTTCTACAGAAGATAAAGAGCAAGAAGACAGTACTCCTGATGTTGAAGTCCTTCCAAGGAAGAGCTGTTTGTTTCTAAAATAGGAATAAGTAATGAAGTTGCATCATTTGGGATGTCAACCAAGGAAACAATGGCATTATGATTGAAAACCAGTTATTTTCTTGTATGCTGGTTTCATTCAAATTCAATGTTAATTATCATGCATTCCAAGTCTTAGTAAAATCAGGCAATAAGCTTAAAAGAATTCAATGCCCTGTGTTTCTCTATTGGAAAAATTGCCTTAGTAGTAAACAGAAATGAAGTTTTAAAGATTAGAAAAATAGTCAAAAAATATATTTTCTTTTTCTCTATTTAAATTTTGTAGAATTTTCTGTCTAGGAACATTTATATATACATTCACATATATGAATATATATGTGGTATATATGTAGATATACACACACATATAAACATATGTGTGTGTTTAAAACTACAGGCCAATTTGAAAAGAATGCCATTTCGTTCTTTTAAGTTAATCATCAATAATTTATTTAAATCTTATAAAACAAGTTCTTATCTAGTAACAAGTCATAATTTTAGGTTGTTTCTACATGGATACCCATGCACTGGAACTGTTTAAGGAAAGAATGTTAACCTGGAATCTATGGAGTCATAAAGGATCCATGGATGAGCTTCAGTAGGCTTACAGCCTCACTGAAATTATACTGATATTTGTATATTTGTGTCCTTGTAAGTTTCTAGCATCTAGAGACACTGGAGGATACTTAACTGATTCCTAATCTCCCAAAAGTTTCAGCCTGTTTTATATAAAACAATTTATCAACTATTTAAAATAAAAATAAATAAAACTATAAAACAAAATCCACCAGAACATTGATGGATTATAAAGGAAGGATTTGAAAATCTATTAGCAAGATACTACTTCTGTCCAGGCATCTCTGATCTTCTGTGGTCATTTTTCTCAAAAATTATTTTTTCTAGATGGTCACCAGAATTATTTAACTTCTGTACTCAGACAATAAGATGGGGTGTTTTTTAACCCCATCTTTTTAACTTTAACCCCATCTTTTTGACTTTCTTCTTCTGTCAAAGAACCCTAGTCTGGGTTCTGACACATCCCTGGGCTCACACTAACATTTCTGGGTTTTCTCTATTCTCATCCCAAAGGTTTCAATGATCAGGCTGGAGAGTGGAACAGAGAGGATTTTAGAACTCATCTTTATTTGTAAGGAAAATCTGCCTTGCTTGATTTTTGTGAATTTGGAAGAATGTTATTAGGGATAAAAGGAGAAGGCAGTTGAGGGATGGAGAGAAAGATAATAAAGTGCGAAGATTCAAAAGAAACTTTGCTATATGTAAATACATTTGTTTCTTTGGGAACTGGCAGTTTGCAAATGCTGTCACTAATTTGTTTAACATGAGAATTTCCATTTTAATGAACATGTTTTGTGTAATCCATTATTATTACATATATACTAGGCGCTTAGTGCAATTCTAGTCATTGAAGAGGACAGAAGGGAAATAAAAATGACACTCTCAACCCTTAAAATGTGTACAATTTAATGAGGAAATTAAACTAACAAATACTAATCAAAAAGAGGAAATTATTAAGTGGTATACATATATAAAATCAACTAAGATTATATTTACTAAGAATGAGTTTAGACTCATTATTTCCTCTCTCATCCTTTTAAAATGTTTCATTTAAATTATGCAACATTTTAAACATACCAACGATTGTAAAATAAAATGTACCTGTATCATGAATTTTAAATATATGTTTACTTTTTGACACTTTTTTTTCTTTAGATTTAAAAACCAAATGAAGTGAAATGTTCCAGTTTCAGTTAATACCCATTCCTTCTACTCTTTCCCTTTCCAGAAGGAACACAATAACAAAACTGACAGTTACTCCTAGGCATGGCTATGCAGTTTTTCCACATATGTTGTACATTCCTAAAGAATACATTTTAGAAATTTCAAATCTTTGCATCAATAGCACAACATAGATCTTTCTGTTGTTTTTTTAAGTTTAATTTTTGTTATCTACATCACAAACTTGATTTTATTCATTTTAAAGGTTATAAAGCATTTGTTAATCTATTTTTGCACTAAAAGAACAGTTCGTTTTCTTTAAAGATCTCATGCATTTTTTCCTAGCCTAAGATATGTCTTTTCACTTTTTTCATAGTGTCTTTCATCAAACAGAAGTTATAAGCTATGATAACTGTTATAACGGTTTTTTCCATTATGGATTATACTTCTTGTGTGTTATTTAAGAAATACTCTGCGTAGAAGTTGGAAAAGAGGAGGGCATTTCAGATATACAATCCAGACAAGTGGAAATTGGCATGACAGAACATCGTAAATATACTGACTTGACTGCAAGAAAAGGGACCTCAAGGTGTTATCTCGCCCACCTTTTTTTAGATTGAACAGAAACTGGTAATATTCTAGGGTCTGCTCATGAATGTAGGAGATGCCTTCTTTTTGATTATTATTATATTTTAAGTTCTGGGGTACATGTGCATATTGTGCAGGATTGTTACATAGGTATACACATGCCGTGGTTGTTTGCTGCATTCATCCCACTGTCATCTCCATTAGGTATTTCTCCTAGTGTTATCCCTCCCCAATCCCCCCACCCCTTGCTATCCCTCCCCTAGCCCCGCCAACCCCCAACAGGCCCTGGTGTGTGATGTTCCCCTCTCTCTGTCGATGTGTTCCCATTGTTCAACACCCACTTATGACTGAGAACATGCAGTGTTTGGTTTTCTGTTTTTGTGTAAGTTTGCTGACAAGATGATGGTTTCCAGCTTCATCTATCTCCCTGAAAAGGACATGAACTCATTCTTTTTCATGGCTGCTTAGTATTCCATGGTGTATATATGCCATATTTTCTCTCATTCATCCAATCTTTCATTGATGGGTATTTGGGTTGGCTCCAAGTCTTTGCTATTGTAAACAGTGCCACAGTGAACATACGTGTGCATGTGTCTTTATAGTAGAATGATTTATAATCCTTTGGGTATATACCCAGTAATGGAATTGCTGGGTCAAATGGTATTTCTACTTCTAGATCCTTGAGGAATCACCACACTGTCTTCCACAATGGTTGAACTAATTTACACTCCCACCAACAGTGTAAAAGTATTCCTATTTCTCCACATCCTCTCCAGCATCTATTGTCTCCAGATTTTTTAATGATTACCATTATAACTGGCATGAGATGGTATCTCAGTGTGGTTTTGATTTGCATTTCTCTAATGGCCAGTGATGATGAGCTTTTTTTCATATGTTTGCTGTCTGCATAAATGTCTTCTTTTGAAAAGTGTCTGTTCATGTCCTTTGTCCACTTTTTGGTGGAGTTGGAGATGGCTTCGTAGTCCACATATTTCAGGCCTATCGAGGCCCTCCTAGGCTGAAGGGATTAGTGTCTTGGTACATCAGTAGCCATCTGAAGCATTGCAGCTTGTCAAGTCACCCAAATTAGGAACTCTGAAACTTTGCCACTAGGGGGAATGAGCACTAAACTGTCCTTGACAGACCTTTGCCAAACTAAGATAATTTCAGAGTTACATTTTTCACAGCCTCACTATTGTGACGACATTCAATAAACTTCTTTCCAAGAAACGTTTTCTCTTATCTTTCCTTATCTCTTATACATATCTCGTTTTTGAGGCCATTACTATCTGAAGTAAAGCCAGACAGAATTTTTTTTTTTTTTGAGACCGAGTCTGGCTCCATCTCCGGTCACCAGGCTGGAGTACAGTGACACAATCTCAACTCACTGCAACCTCCGCCTCCCGGGTTCAAGCAATTCTCCTGCCTCAGCCCCCCGAGTAGCTGGGACTACAGGTGTGTGCCACCCATGCCTAGCTAATTTTTGTATTTTTTAGTAGGGACGGGGTTTCACCATGTTGGCCAGGATGGTCTTGATCTCTTGACCTCATGATCCACCTGCCTCGGCCTCCCAAAGTGCTAGGATTACAGGTGTGAGCTACTGTGCCCTGCCAGCAGGCACAATTTTTATACCTAGATCACTGCTCTCTGGCTAAAGTCCCTGGTAATTGATAGACTTTTTCAATTGTTTATTCTGGAAATATTTCTAATCTTCAAATCATTACAGTTTACTTTAAGCTAATGTATGAAAATAACACAGATTGAATTTACACATCAGTGCAATAATTTATTTTATAACTTGATTATTTTGCAATGTTTCCTCATTATTCTTGTTCTGTTCTTTCCATGATGTTGTATCTGATGAAACAAGCAATAAAGGATACGTTTTCATAAAGGTAATCATCAAATTTTAAAAATGACAGTTTATATTGATATTTAAAAGTTGTCTTAGTAAATATTTTGGAAACTCACCAATATATTCTATCATTCTTACTACCCTCAGAAGAACAAGAAGGAAAAAGGAGTATTATCACATTACTTCCATACACATCTAAAAAATACATCACACCTACAGATAAATATATTTAAAAGAATTTGAAAGAATGAGGTCAGTTAGGATGTAGTTCACTGACATGGCAATCGGGGTTTATCAATTCAAATCAACATTCATCATTCTCACATGTTCTTGTAGGTACCAAGTCAATCAAAGTGAAATGGAGGGAAAACACTTCTGAAGATTCATCGGAGTTTATCAACAATGTCAGGTGCATGCTTCTCAAATAAAAACACATGCCAATGGAAAAACAAGCCAGCTACTAGGTTTGTATAAATGCATCTAATTTACATCATTTTATATAGATGATTCTACTCTTTTACACAGGTATATTTGACAATTAGTACCATCCCTTCCACATACACACAATTTAGCCAAAATGACATTCTGTAGGGGATCTCTATAAGCCCTCCAGTTGATTCTTTTTCAGGCTAAAGTTTGAGAACTGTTGTGTTACTCTGGACTAAGCCTCTGAAAGTTTTGATGACTTAAATATTTATATATGTTATGAATGTATATGAAGGATATGATTGCATACTATAGATTACAAACATTATTACATAGGCAAACTTCATAGCAGAAATAAAAAGAAAATCCTAAGTGGATTCTGCATTGACTGACAAAGAAAACCTATGCCAATTTTTACAGAATTCGTTTTTATAAACTATTAACCTAAGGTAAAAGTTCCCTATGATGTCATAACCTGATACATGTAGACTGGAAGAAGTATTGCCTAATGCCTCAATCTCACTACATTTATCTGCTTAATTAGAGGTAGGTTGAGCCTAAGTTAAAATGTATTTAGTATATGTAAAATACCAATAACAAATACTATTAGCAAATTTAAAGAAAAGTGTTATGTTTCAGAAACAATTGAAAAATAGTCATGATTTATGTCAAAATCTAGTATTGGGTATGAAGATATAAGTCAAACCAGGAAACATCGGTTATACTTGATTTATAACTAGAATGGATTATTTACATATTTCTAACTATCAATCCTTTCAGAAACAAAAACAAAATGTTCAATTTCATAATTTCCAAGATAGAAAAGCTGAAATATAATTATACTGCCGTATTTTTGATAGATAATAGGTATATATATTTTAGGGTACCTGTAATAATACATTCATATAATTTGAAAAGAACAAAATCAGTATTAGAATACCTATCACTTTAAATATTTGTCTTTATGCTAGAAATATGCAAATTTTCTCTTCTAGCTATTTTGAAATATACAGGAGATTATTGTAGGTTATAGTAATGATCTATCAAACACTAGGTCTTATTTCTTTTATCAAACTGTGTACCTGTGCCTATTAATCAACCGCTCTTCAGCCCCCCTCCCTCCCACGCTTCCCGTCCTCTAGTAACCATCAATCTGCTCCCTGTCTTCATGAGGTCCACTTTTTTGGCTTTCACATATGAGTCAAAAGATACAATATTTGTCACTCTGTGCTTGGCTTATTTTATGATCTATAGTTCTGTCCATATTGCTGCAAATGACAGGATTTCATTCTTTTCTGTGGTTGAATAGCATTCCACTGTGTATATGTTCCACATTTTCTTGATTCATTCATCCATTGAGGGACATTTAGATTTATTACATATTTTGGATATTGTCAATAGTGTTGCAGTTAACGTGGAAGTACAGATATCTGACATATTGATTTCTTTTCTTTTGGATACATAGCAGTACTAGAATTGCTGGATCATATGGTAGTTCTATTTGTAGTTTTTTCACACAATTTTCCATAATGGCTATACTAATTTACATTCCCACCAAAAGTGGACAAGGGTTTCCCTTTCTCCACATCCTTACCAGCATTTGTTAATTAAAGTCTTTTTGATAAAAGCTACTTTAGTTGGGATAGGAAGATATTCCATTGTGGTTTTGGCATTTCTTCCATGATTTGTGATGTTGAGCATTTTTTTCAGATACTTGTTGCTTATTTGTATGTCTTCTTTTGAGAAATGTTTATCCAGATCTTTTGCCTATTTTAAGTGGATTATTTGCTTTTTTGCCATTGAGATGTTTGAGTTACTTATATATTCTGGTTATTAACCTCTTTTTTTTTCTTGCTGAAAAAATCTGTATTTGAATGCTAATTCTTTTGCAGCACTGAAAATTTATGTGTAACACTATTTATTTTTATGGATTGGAGGTTTCAGTGGGATGGGAGAATCACAAGGAATCAGGTGTTCAGAGGAATGTATTGAGTAGAGGTGAGGAACTAGGATGTTGAAAAGTAAAAAAAGGAGAGAAAGAGGAAGAAAAAGAGGGAGAGAGAACAGGAATATTGCTTCATTCTAAAAATGGGTATTAATAATGGTTGATCAATATTTTGTGTATTTAAAATGGAGAACTCCATAAATATTTATTGAGTTTACTTGTTCCGGATCTGAGTTGAAGTCCTGGATATCCTTCTTAATTTTCTGTCTCGTTGAGTCTAAATCTCATTATGGGTCTTATGTATCTGGGTATTAATAGCTCTTATTGTTGCATTGATCCTTTTACCACTGTATCTTTGTTGCTTTGAAGTCTATTTTATCAAATGTGAGAATTGCAACTCCTGCTTTTTGTATATTTATTTATTTTTGCTCTCCATTTGGTTGGTAAATTTTTCTCCAACCCTTTGGAGAAGGGTTTCTATTTTGGCCGGTGCAGTGGGTTGCTTGAATCCCAGCACTGGGAATCAATAAATTGGATGTCAACTCAGAAACCTAATTAGAAAGGTGGTAATTGTAAAGACGACAGATGGATAAATTTATAATAAAGGGAAACAAACAGCCTAAGAAGGCTGAGCATATCCAAAATTAGAACCCCTCTCCCTCTACAGGGGATTGCAGTTGTTCATCAGCAACGGAACAAGCCCTGATGGAAAAGGACTGTGTTCTATTATCTGAAGTAGACTTCAGAAGGTGGATGATAAGAAACTTCTGGGAATTAAAAGAACTTGTTCTAACCCAATGTAAAGAAACTAAGAACTTGGAAAAAAGGTTTGATGAAATGCTGAAAAGAATTGACAATATGGAGAGGAATATAAATGAACTAAAGGAGTTGAAAAATACAACATGAGAACTTAGTGAAATATGCACAAGTTTAAATAGCAGAATGGATCAAGCAGAAGAAAGGATATCAGAGGTCAAAGACCAACTTAATGAAATAAAACGACAAGACAAGAATAGAGAAAAAAGGATGAAAAGGAATGAGCAAAGTCTCCAAGAAATATGGGACTATGTGAAAAGACCCAATCTACGTTGGATTGGTGTACCTGAATGTGATGGAGAGAATGAATCCAAGCTGGAAAATACTTTTCAGGGTATTATCCAGGAAAATTTTACCAATCTAGCAAAGCAGGACATTATTCAACCCCAGGTAATACAGAGAACACCACAAAGATATTCCTCAAGAAGAGCAACCCCAAGGCACATAATAGTTAGATTCACCAGGATCGAAACGAAGGAGAAAATACTAAGGGCAGCCAGAGAGAAAGGCCAGGTTACCCACAAAGGGAAGCCTATCAGACTTACAGCAGATCTCTCAGCAGAAACCCTACAAGCCAGAAGAGAGTGGGGGCCAATATTCAACATACTTAAAGAACAGAACTTTCAGCCTAGAATCTCATATCCTGCCAAACTAAGCTCCACAATTGAAGGAAAAATAAAATCTTTTATGAACAAGCAAGTACTCAGAGATTTTATTACCACCAGGCCTGCTTTACAAGAACTTCTGAAAGAAGCATTATACATAGAAAGGAACAACCAGTATGAGCCTTTCTGAAAATATACCAAAAAGTAAAGAGCATCAACATAAAGAAGAATTTACATCAACGAATGGATAAAATAGCCAGTTAACATCAAATGGCAGTAACCCTAAATTTAAATCGACTAAATTCCCCAATCAAAAGATACAGCCAAAACCTAACGGTATATCCAAAGATACACAAAGACTCATGACCTCTTAACAGATGGATACTTTGCAAGTAATTTCTCCTATTCTGTAGGTTGACTTCCCATTTTGTTGACTGTTTCCTTTACAATGCAGAATCTTCTAAGCTTAATGTAATCCCAATTTGTCTATTTTTGCTTTTGTTTTCTATTGTTTTGAGGCCTTACACAAAAATTTTTGCCTAGACCAATAACCTGGAGCATTTCCCTATGTTTTCTTCTAATAGTTCCATAGTTTCAGGCCTTAGATTTAATTTTTAATCGATTTTGTTTGACATATGACACTTCTAAAATGTGGAAGAGACATCCCTACTTCTGCCTCCATTACCATCATGACAGAGTGGAGGCTGAAAGAGGAGCATGTCGTGGAGTAGTTAGAGGTAAGAGATGAATTCTAAACCTCCACATTTCTTGTGGCTGAAATCCCAAGGCAATATAACCATCCAGTAATAACCAACTATAGGAGGATGGGACATAACCAGAAACTTAGACTTGGGCTACTTCCCCATGTGACTTGAGTCTGCCAATGTAGACATTAAGGGAAGATGGGGTATCTCTGTTGCAACAAACATTTTCATATTTCTGTATAGTCTGGGCTTTCTGATGAAACATTACTCATAACCTGAGTTAAAGGATGAGTGAATAGAAAATAAGCTTTGGACATTAAAAACAGTGAAATACCCAGGAGAGACTTATAATGATTTGTCTCTCCTAAACCCATTTGTTTACATTGAAAAGAGTTTTAACAACTTGGGGACCTTCCCCTTCCCTTTCCAGAGAGGATTTCATTACATTGGAGAGCACAAGTTTCTTTCTCTTCTCAGTGGGGGAAGAGAGGCATCTCTGCCGCAGTTTCTACACAAACGCCAAGATTCATAATTTTCAGGTCCTCTCCTAAAGAGCCCCTCCCCCTTTACATATAGGGTGATATATGCCCACACTCTATTGCTCCAAAAGGGAAATAAGGCACTGGAAACTAGCACTAAGATTGCTAGAGAACAGCAGAACTCTCACAACATAATGACTCCATCCAAACCTCTGCACTGAGAGATGATCAAATTCCATCATGGCCTCTAGCAGCACAGAGCTGTGTTCCCAGGATGACTACAGCCCCAGTTACAATGGCTAGCTGAGAAAGCTCAGTGCCGCCAGGAGAATTTACTGTTTGTTCTAGTCAACTGCTGACAGTAGGCTCCATACCTTCCATTTTAAAAATGGTTTACAGTTGTGACTGTATCACTTACAACTCAGAAGATTCTGAGAGCCATTTCTTTAAAATAGGCATGAGCAATATGAGAAAAGATTACAGGCTGGGTGCGGTGGCTCAAGCACTTTAGGAGGCCGAGGTGGGTGGATCACAAGGTCATGAGATCGAGACTATCCTGGTCAACATGGTGAAACCCTGTCTCTACTAAAGATACAAAAAATTAGCTGGGCATGGTGGCGCGTGCCTGTAATCCCAGCTACTCGGGAGGCTGAGGCAGGAGAATTGCCTGAACCCAGGAGGCAGAGGTTGCAGTGAGCCGAGATTGCGCCATTGCACTCCAGCCTGGGTAACAAGAGCGAAACTCCATCTCTTAAAAAAAAAAAAAAAAAAAAATTACAGTAATCTATATTGTGGGTTACTGTACAACCCGCAACCCACAAATGATACACAATTAATAAATTTGCACTGAATCATTTTTTCAGTTTTCACCAGAAAAGATAGGGTCT